TATATATATATATATATATATATATATATATATATTAAAATGGAGGAACTTTCGTAATGCTTGTTAGAACTGGATGATAAAATTATATGAAATGAACCGCATTTAGCTGAGTTTTCATTTGTTATAAGTACAGCCAGAAAAATCAGTGCCTTTTTAAATTACCATCAATATCAAAAGAAGAAAGGATCCTTGCGCAAGCCGACAAATATTATACGAAAATTCGATATACTGCAGTTTAACTTTTAAAAAACTGGGTTTATTCTACAATGGAAAAACGTTTGAGAAACAATTACTATTTTGCCAAATGCAGCAGTCACTTGCAAAAGTTAGTCCTCCTCCCAAGTTGTAGAGAAATAGACTTACAAATTCTACTAATAATATCATCACAATTTCTGTTATTGGCGCTATAATATAACCTAGAGCTGGAAATGGGAGAGCACAGTATGAAGCAAAGTGCCGAGCCGGATCTTCAAACTGAGGATCCAACTCTGTACTTTGCTTTGTAGGCTGAAGTATAGGTACAGTGGCTGATTTTGTAAGTCTACTTTTATAGCATTTATGCTGAACTGATTGCGATCAGTGGTCGCTGATACACAATGCATATTAACAGAGTGTGTGAACGGTCAGTAGCCGTCTTTTACCGTTCGAAAGATTTTGTTTTTTGTGGGGCGAAAGGTGACCCGTTGGAAGTACCGCATTGCATAGGACGATAAACAGTTATCACTTATCAGAAGACTCGCCATATACTATGAGATTGAACGGGCAATGAGGTGGGAATATAAAATTATACGTCTTCTAAAAATTTTTTGCTTTTTTTTACTTCTTTTCACTCTTAGCGATCCTTCTTGGTTGTTTTATTATTGTTATTTTTTGCTTATTTATTTTTGGCCAAAAACTTTCACAAATATTAAATGGTACAAAAATTTTTCAGGATTTTTCAATTTATAAAGTTCTTTTGAATTGAATAATATAATATACTCTTTATTTTTGGCCAAAAACTTTCACAGATATTAAATGGTACAAAAATTTTTCAGGATTTTTCAATTTATAAAGTTCTTTTGAATTGAATAATATAATATACTCTTTATTTCCTATACTCATTTTTCCACTTTTTACTTCTTAATTTCTTTAGTGCTTATATCTGTCGTTTAGATGTAAGCCGAATCTTGTTTCTGGCTAAAATTTTAAAATAGTTCACATGCCGTTAGATTTATTTGTCCGTTCTACTTCACTAATTTTTAAGGAATGTTTTTTTTTATTTTTTATTTTATTAAATTCGCTTGCAAGTTGTAGGCCCTTCACTGATAAATTAGCATATTCTTTCGATAAACCATATTCTTTTGTTCCTTCCTGAGTTTATTTATTTATTTTAGTAACTAATGCTTTCCAAAACCGTCACCCACATTTGGTTGACGATACGTAAGCTGTGCAACGTGGTTTTGAAATTCGTAATTTACGAGATTCGAGTGGTGGTCATTTCCATAGAATTGGCTTCTTTAGGAGGTAATCTTTGTGCAGTTTTAAACATTAAAATGCTGAAAAATTTACGTTTTTTTTTGTGCAGACTGCTGTTTTCGCAGTCAATAACCTTTCAAATTATATTAGTGTTGTTTTGGTTAACTTATCCTCCCCATATAAATTAGTGGTTGTTTGAGGAAGGAACTTGAGGTGGTAAGCAAATTTGCAGTTCTGCAATTGCCATCTCTGACGCTTAATTGAATACATACCATACTTTTTAAAGTTACAATTGAATTATATGACAGAAAGATATTTCTTGCTTTTTTGAATGATAAATTTACCTTCAAAAAGACAAAATAAAGGAATTAGAAGTTCGGGAACACGATGTAGAATAGTCGTTGAGGCGCAATTATTTTGCTATTACGAGCACCACAGTTCATGACATGAGATTGCAGCTGCTGTATTTTCTGCTGTCGCAGTGAGATTATTGGAAGAGATGCTGCGCGAGTGCTTCGAGGTTATCGTGGAGTCAACTTTTGGGCAGGTTACTGTTAGTGAAACATCTCCCAGATTTTCATTTCCTAAATGTTATCTTGAACCTAAAAAGTTCCCTTTAAAATGCTGGTTCTAGAAGTGCTTTTAAAATACTGGTAGTTTTAAGGCAGTGTAAAGATTTTTGGATCTATGAAGAAGGCAAGCAACAATACTTCTCAAAATTTTCGTTTTAGGAGTCTATTCTCAAATGGATTTTTAAGCGCATTTTAAACAGGTTATATCTGAAAGTTTGCACAGATTTGAAAAAGGTAAGGCACCATTTCAATTTTTTAATTCAATATTTGATTTTTAAAAAGATAAATTTTACTTCCTGGCACGCTTTTTTGAAACTTAGTGAAGTTTGCTTAGCAAGCTGAAGGAAGAAATTTTTTGGTGAGCTTACGAATTATTCAATTAGTTGACTGAAAAATTTCACTGTTTTTTTTTTTTTTTCTGGTTTTCGATACGGTATTGACAAACAAATAGTTTATTGAAGTCCAAAGTATTTAGGTTTTCGAAAGAAATAAATGTTCTTACGCTCTAAAAGAGCAGAATGAGTCAATCATTGCTCCTTTTTCTTCGAGGATTTCGGAACTCTCTTCAGCGTCTGGTACAATTTATGTTGCATCTTTGTTTTATAACAATTACTGCAGCTCGAGAAAACAGATTATCTGAATAGTGACAAGCTTTCTGTCGCAGAAGGAGGTGTATATAGAGGAGAAAGCATTTTTTTTGTGTGTGTTTACAGTCCTTTTAGTCTGTCATTAATCTTCTCTTCTTTTTTACTATTAGGTCTATACTGGCAAGATGACGACTACAGGGACTGCGGGTTAACTGAAGCTAGATCTTTGGTTGGTTTTAAAATGATTTGGCCAGTTTTTTCCTTTCATAAAGCAAGATTTGACCGGCTTCTTCGATATCATTTAGAAAGGAAATTGTGGAACTTGTTCCTCAACTAAGGAGGTTGATCGCGAAGCTACTTCTCAATACACGTCTTTTAATTCAAGTATTTTTTGTTATA